GCTGTAACTAATAATTGTTAAACAAACTGGGAGATGGGAACCGTTGCTACTGCAAATCATCCAGGTACCTATGGACAGTGGCCTCCAATGTATCTTCCATCAACTGTCTCCCAATTATGGAGGGCTGAAAACCAATCCCCCAAATTGTAATCTTTCCATTCCAGCTCACGGTAGTCAGAAAATCTTGCTGTGTCAGACTATTATCACTACATTTTAACGCTTCCTACAACACAGAAAACTAAGAAATGGTATTGTCTCTTTCCTTTCGCTTTTACTACCTTTTTTCCCCCTCTTTCAGGTCTTACCTTTTTCAGGTTGCAAGGATGAGGACATGAACTGGCTGTTTTTATGATCGTGGAAGTTATTTTCGGAATCTCATAGGCTGAAAGGCTGGGCACCAATGCTTCCAATGTCAGCAATGGCTGTAAGGCTGTGAAAACTTACCTACAGACTGAATCTGGACAGGTCTGAGGTCTTCCCGGGTCGTGAGCATGTAACCTGTCAGGTGCTCCATGATGGCTTGGAAATATGGTAGGAGAGATTCCTTCGCAGCCTGAGCTGGAGATCGAGGGGGAAGAGGGTGAGCAGGGAATGGTTTCCACCAGAAGAGATCTAATGATCTGGCTCCTGCTTTCGGCCTTGCTATAGCCAGATCTATGAGGATCTCGGCGGGTGGGGGCGGGGTGGAGGAAGAGAAAGAAGGGTAAACAAGCCCTCTCCCCCATTTCTGGTTCCTATTTTTCATTTCGTTTCTTTAATCCTCAAGTTGCTATTGCCATCAAACCCAAACAAAAGTTTGTTAAATCTTTCGGGGGAGAGCATTAAAAACCGCAGTGCCATTTTCAGCAAAGACAGGCCTGTGAGACTGTGCCTAAAAGTGCTCTCCAGAGAAGTTCATCATTTTAACTAAGTGAATGCATAAGGTCCCCTCCAAGTGGGAACCTTTAACCACCCACCTCCCAAGCCACTGTCTGAAGATGCCTTGAACTCTCTGCCTGTTGCCATCCGAACTGCATGGAGGCTGGGCGAGGGGTTCTCGAAGTTGAGACTCGGTATGTGTTCGTGAGTGCGTCCTTACCAATGGCCCCAATGGCACTAACAGCCAGCTCCTTGGTGCGCGGACTCCCAGGACAGGTCAAGGTACTAAGCATCCGCTCCATCAAAGCTGGGAGGTAGGGTGAGATCTTGTCTTCTGTTGGGAGCAGAGAGAAACAGTGGGAAAATAAAACCATCTCGCAGGCCTGCATATTACACTCAGCTATAATATGATTCATCGATACATCCACAGGGCCACAGTGTATCATAAGCCATGCTTTAGGCCATGTTTCTCAACCTCGGCAACTTTAAGATGTGTGCACTTCAACTCCCAGAATTCCCCAGCCA